GCTGAGCTGGCTGCAGTCGGAGCTCCGGGCTCAGCAGTCCCTGCAGGGCTGAGCTGGCTGCAGTCGGAGCTCCGGGCTCAGCAGTCCCTGCAGGGATGATTTCAACCACAGCTCAATGCCGGAGGTTTGTGCTGAGAGCCTCCAGCAAGCAGAACTGAAAGGTGGATGCATTTTTGTTCCGTGGTGCTTTCCTTTTGATATGGAATAAAAACCCCTTTAAATCAAAGCCACTCCTGTTGTCCCCAAACTCTCCTTGAGGGGCAGGGAAGGATTCCACTCAGGAATTCCACCCAGGAAGGCCCTGGAGCTGCACACTGGCTGTGAGCTCGTGTTTGGGACCTTGCTTAGGAGCTAACATGTTGGAAATGTTTGCTTGCCATGTGGCTGTGCCTTTTTATCTGCAGGTTTGATTATATAAATGTTCCTGTTTAGGAGACACACGCCAGGGAATAAATCTCTGGGCCCACAGACTCTTTGAGCACAGGCAGCCCCAGCATTTAACTGGTAACAAAGAGTTGGAGTGGAAGCTTTTTGATGAAGAGTTGGCAGCATATCAGAGGAGCAGCTTGGCCACGAGATGTGAGCAAGGATGTCACACTGGGTGTTTAAACTTCTTACCTTTCCTTCCAATTCCTTTTTATTTTTTTTTTTTCTTCAAGTGATTATGAATGAATTATAAGAGGGCTGGTGATTGTTTTCAGTGTGTATGTGTTCAGATAGTGGCTCAGTTAAAAAAGACATTAACTTTGGGTTTTAACATAATCCAGAGATCTGGCTGCTCTAACTGCACTTTAAGTAGTAAGAATTAAGAGTGACCTGAAGAAATCACCAGCTTTTAGCACAAAATTTCTTGTTTAACTGATTTAACTGGGCCCAAACCTGTGGCTGTAATTTGAGGTTTGCTTCCATGAGAGTGGCAGGTGCTGCCACACAGCAAAAGCCAAGTGGAGTGTGAGGAAGGGTAGAGTTCAAATAAACAAAATACACTAAGGGATGACAAAAGGCAGGTGGGGGATAGAACACAGAAGTGAATTTCCCTTCTGAACATCTTCCCTGCCTTTGGCTGCTGGGCTTTGATGTGGCAGAGCACAAAGAGGCTCCTTCCGTACCTGAGCTCTGTGTTCCAGGCAGAGCCCAGCCAGGTTATAAATCTGTAACGTTGCACTTCACCTTTTGTGTCTTGCTTAATGACCTTTTAAAAATAAATGCAGGATGGCTGAGGGGAACAGGATCAGTGGTGGAAAAGCTGACACGTCCGCAACCTGAGCTCTGATCCCTCTGATTGCTGCAGCCCGTTAAACAAAACTTCT